TCGCTTTAGGCGCCTTTAACAATTTACTTTCTTAAACTCGGGTGCACATTTATGTGACCCAAACCCAAATCTCAACAGAGTCGAAATGTGTCGATAATCACGGGTACATTGATGTGACGTGGTTCGAGATACGTTTTTCACAATGTTGTAATTCTCTGTTATAATAATAATAATAATAATAATAATAATAATAATAATAATAATAATAATAATAAAAGCGATAAAAAGTTTAAAGTTTGCACATGAGTTCATGATTGTATAAAATCAGATAACCAAGCCGAATATGACAGTTGAGCGACCATGTTAGAACCACAGAACTCGGGAATGCCTAACACCTTCTCCCGGGTTAACAAAATTCCTTATCCGAATTTCTAATGCGCAAATTGTTAAACAGAGTCAATATTTTCCTCGATTCGGGATTCAACCGGTGACTTGGGACACCATAAATCTCTCAAGTGGCGACTTTGAAATAAATCCCGTTTCAATTGTCCTTTAATTGGAAAAAACTCCCTTCCGCGCCCCTTTGCAGGCGGCGCAGGCGAAAAAGGAGGTGTGACAAATACAGTTCAAGTTTTGGCAATAAGGCGCCCACCTGGAGAGAACGGGAATACAGTTCAAGTTTTGGCAATCAGGCGCCCACTTGGAGAGCATGGGAATACAGTTCAAGTTTTGGCAATCTGGCGCCCACCTGGAGAGCACGAGAATAAAAGTCAAGTTTTGGTAATCAGGCGCCCACCTAGAGAGCACGGGAATACATTTCAAGTTTTGGCAATCAGGCGCCCACCTGGAGAGCACGAGAATAAAAGTCAAGTTTTGGTAATCAGGCGCCCACCTAGAGAGCACGGGAATACATTTCAAGTTTTGGCAATCAGGTGCCTACCTGCAGAGCATGGGAATATAGGTCAAGTTTTGGCAATCAGGCGCCCACCTGGAGAGCACGGGAATACATGTCAAGTTTTGGCAATCAGGCGTCCACCTGGAGAGCACGGGAATACAGTTAGAGTTTTGGCAATCAGGCGCCCACTTGGAGAGCACAGGAATACAGTTCAAGTTTTGGCAATCAGGCGCCCACCTGGAGAGCATGGGAATACAGTTCAAGTTTTGGCAATCAGGCGCACACCCAGAGAGCACGGGAATACAGTTCAAGTTTTGGCAATCAGGCTCCCACCTGGAGAGAACGGGAATATAGTTAAAGTTTTGGCAATCAGGGGCCCACCTGGAGAGCAGGGGAATACAGTTCAAGTTCAGCAATCAGGCGCCCACCTGGAGAGCACGGGAATGTAGTTCAAGTTTTGGCAATCAGACGCCCACCTGGAAAGTAAGGGAACACAGTTCAAGTTCAGTAATCAGGCGCCCACCTGGAGAAAAGGAAAGCATCTCAGATTATAATTCGAGTTCATCAATCAGGCGCCCACCTGAAGAAAAGGGAAAGCATTTCAGATCACAATTCAAGTCGGCAACAAGGGAACTTCACCCGGGGAATACAAGTCAAAAGGCAACGGGAATCACAAGATCAAGTTTGAAGATACAGATAGGATTTTTGTAATGCATAGATCATAGTTTAGTCTAACTTCTTTTGTTTTGTCATGGTATAAGGAGTTCAGTAAGAAGTAGCAGCAGCAGCATCAGCAACAGTGAAATCACAGCTTCATGGTAGTCCCAGCTACCGAAACTTCCCGAACTACACTGACCTGATTCCTTTATAGCCAAGGATATGTAGGCAACCTCGGAAGCAGGGTGCAGTCAAATCTTTCAAAAAATGCTTCCAATGGAGTATTCAAATGGGCAAAATAGCTCGTATCCGCTCACTTTATCTTTGCACGAAAACCCTTCGGGTTTCCGAGTAAAGAGGGGCAGCTGTGAGCACGTGATTTTTGCCCTACATGAAAATAACTCCTAAAAATAGACCAAAAATAATTTTTATTGATTTTAGGAATTTTTCTTTATTTATTTGCATTTCATGCATTTTTAATATTTTTAAATCATAGAAAAAAATCCTAAAAATTGTCATTTTTACATATTTAACTTGTAGTCTTTTAAATTTACATTTTTCTTTAGTTTTAAGTTAATTAGTTGTTTTAATGTTAAAAATAAATAAATAATTTTAATTTCTACAAAAATAGATTAATTAATTAAAAAAAAGAAAAAGGAGAAAAGGAAATTAGGAAGAATGTATTTTTGGTCTTGTTTCTTTTAAAATTGGGCCAATTCCTAAAGGCCCAAATCAATTCTAAACCCCAACCCAATTCCAATACCAATACCCATTTGACCCATTACCCCTTTTGTTCATTTTTTATACCCTAATCCATCACATAAAAGGGGAGCTAAGGCACAAAAGAGATCAGATTTGGGGAGACCTAAAAAAGATCCCAGACAAAAGGCAGCGCCGCAGAGAAGGAGATCCCCCTTTTTCTTCAATACCCAAAACACGCTGTTGCTTCTTCATCTCACAACCAATACAAGATGATCAGATCCCTTACCCCTTAGAGATACAGAGAAACGGCGCCCCAGGTCATCTTCTTCGGCTTGATTTCTCTAAAAAACCAACATCCTCCCCTTCTTTTCTTCTTTCCTTCACTCACCTTTCATTCATGATTGACACACGCGAAATGCACAAATGGCTGAAACAAAGCTAAAACAAAAACACAAATGAAGATCTGAAAATCAGAAATCTTCAAAACTAAAGAAAAGTTCAAAAAAAAAGAGAAGAAGAGCCGATAGTTGTTTTCAAGTTTAACGGGTTTGCTGCACATTTCCTGGGTAAAAGCTTTTGAATCGAAGAAACTACTGTGTGCTGCTGGTTCACTGCATTGCCGAGATCCAGATTCATTTCTTATCATTGTTTCTTTTTTACTCTATTGGAGCAAGGTACATTTCCTCGATTTTGACTCTGTAATTTGATTTGGACCACTTGTTGTTTTTTATGAGAAAGGATTTCAGAAACTACATGTTCTTATCTGTTGAACAAGTGATTACAATTATTGATTTACATGTCTTGTCTATTTGAATATAAAATTGGATTTAGATACTGCCATAACATTTGGGACCCGAGTCGTAAACTTGTTTGAGCTAACAATGCCATGAAGCTTGTAGTTGTTTGTTCATTGGTATGTTTAAAAATATTTTTCAAAGTGAATTGCAAATCTGTTTTTAATTTTTTTTTTTGGATTGTTCAAATATTCAGTATGCACGGATTTCTCTTTGGGGTAATTGAAACAGTTAATTATGGAATTTTGCTTTTATCACAATTTTATGTACTAATTTAGCTCTGTAATTCTGCTTGTGATCAGTGTGTTGATGACCAAGAATAGTTTGTGGTTATTTCCAATTGGTAATAATGTGTAAGAGTTATATGAAAAAATAGTAAGGTTTAGATGGCAGGAAAAGCTCGTTGGTTTGAATAGTGTTAATATCAAATCTCTTTCAAATTGATGTAATTAGACGTACTAGATTGAATTGTAGTCTTTTATCATTTTTTTGTTAACTAACTGTAATTGTTTGATTATTGAATTACCTCCAATGCGTATATGCAACTCTAATTACTTGAATAAGTAATTGTTAAGAAATTAATTTTATTAGTATTGTATTTTTGTTCGCTTTATTGAGGTGCGTACGTAATATGCGGCTACCAGCTCCATGACTAATGTTTAATGTAACATCAATTATGATTGACCAAGCTTATCGAAAAACTACTTACATAAGCTTAAAATTAATGAACTAAAGTTTTTTAAAAAAAACTAATTGATAGTTTTGATCGGATTGTTGAAAGCTTTAATGGAATCGTCGTGTGACTATCACAAGTTCAAGACATGAAAATAGTTTCCAATAAAAATACAACGTAAGACTGCATACATGAGACTCAATGTAGTCTAGCCTTTTCTCGGACCCTGTGTATCGCGAAAACTTAATGCACTTAATTGCCATTTCTTTTTGTTGAAAGCTTTGACATAAAAATCCATAAGTTGCAGCCGGCCATGGTAGTATTGTAAAGTGAAACGAATAGGTAGTTAATATTAAAGAATGTTTATAAATAATGATAAGTATGGAGTAAACACGCCAAATTAATTAAATGATAAGTAATAAGATTTTGACTAAACTAGTAATAAATACTGTTACCCTCGACAAGCATCTGTTACCCTCGACAAGCTTGTGCCCTTGCTGGGCACAGACTAATTGTCTTCTTTCGACTGTTTCAAGAATCTTTAATGTGTTACTATCCAAATAAAAAAAATAAAATATAAATGCAAGTACGTATGCGTTTCCACAATATTGACTATGAATTTAAAAAATGAAAAAGGTTCAAATATGCCTTTGAATTATACGAAATGGAGCGAATTTGCCTTTGTTCATTTTTTTAATTCTTAGCCAAATATGATCTCATATGGGGCCGTTTAAAATAAGGGCGTATTTGAAGAAAGTATTGGATGGTATACACATATGCCAAAATATTAACGATAGGTAAATTCTCTTTTTCACGCATAGTTCAATGACATATTTGGACCCTTTATGTTTTTAGAAAAAGGGGGTAATTGAAGTTGAAGTTATAAAAGTTGTGGAGCAGATCGTTAAATTGTAACTCTTTTGCTAGGGATTTATGATGTTCAGAGTCGTAAGAAATGTCCTAAGTTTTAATTTATTAAACATTTAAAACTTTAAGGGTGTATTGCACATTTTTATAAGTTCTTTTAAGCAAAGGCCATCGGTGTAAAAAAAAAAAAAAAAAAAAAA